CCCCAAAACCCCAAAACCCCTTGTTCCTAATTAGTGCATTTGATGAAAAGGATTTAATAAAATTGATTTTCGATCTAGTGTCTTTTAGTTATAAACAATTAATAATGAACTCTAAAAGTTTGAGTGGGCGGATAATGCAAAAGCTCAAAATGAATTCAAATATGAAGAGGTATCAACTTTAAAGTCCAGCCATGAAGAATTAAGTCATTTTTAAAGAGCAAAACAGTGTTATTTAAGAAGTCACTGAGGAAAATAAAGCATTTGAGGAATCAAAGAATAATGATTCTGTTTTAAATTCCAGTACACTGAATCATTCTCAAGTACAGTTAAAGGAAGAAAATAAAGAGGAAATTTTTAATAAAAAGTCAACTTTTCATCGTCCTCATCATAGTAGAGTGAGATCAACAGGGTCCGAGCTCTCTGTATTTACTAACTCATTTGCTTTAGGAAGTACAATGAACAAAGATCAGAATAGCTTAAAAAATGAGGGAACACTTACAAGTAGTATTTTTAGTACTAGAAATCTTATGAATAGTTTTCACTTTCGAGCTAGATCTGTTTCTAAAACACCGTTAGGGTAAAATCAAATGTCAACTGCAGATTAATAGCAAATTGTTTCTTAATTATCAAATGTTGGAGGATTTCTTTCAAATTTGATAGGTGGAAATGGATTACAGAGAACTTAGAGAAGTAGCAATTCCATATAGCCAAATTCTTTGCTCGAATAATAAAATGGTGTTAAAATGGGAGCCTTCAAATTTGGTGATTCATCCATTGCTGCAAAGTTTAATGAACAAAAAATGAGATCATTGACAAATAGCAGGTAAAACTCTGCTCGAATGGGAAGCAGTAGATTTAATTCCTGTAAGATATTTTAATTTTAAAACGTTTGTAGCCAGGAGATCTAAAGAGCCTGTTTGTAGAATTTGCTTAGAAAAATTGGGACCTGAACTGCTGCAGCCAAATATTATACTGAGTTCTGATAGTCCAATATGCGAGCCTTGCAAATGCATGGGATCAATTAAATTCATCCATAAAGAATGCTTGAAGGTAAATTAATTTAATAATATTTATTTAGAGATGGATTCAACAAAGGAAAAGCGTGAATTGTGAGCTCTGCCATCACACTTATTCCCAGGAGTGGGTAAAATGGGCTAATGAAAACAATCTCAGAGTTAATCCAAATGATCCTACTTAATTTGAGCTTTAGGTTATGTAATTTAACAAGAAATATAGACTTTCAAAAATTTTAATTCTAGCAATGCTCTTGTTATTTATATTAGTCTTGATGGTAGACCTACTCTCAGCACCTCTCAGATATAATGTGAACAGTGAAGTGATAAGGTTTATCTTATTTTTAGCTCTTGTTGTTATATTTACATCCTTATTGCTTTGGAGATATTACCTGTAAAAGATGACAAACGAGCTAATTAAAGAGTAGCTTAATGTTAATCTTTCTATTTTGCATATAGATTCAGCCTCTTTGATTAACGAAGTAGAGAAATATCGAGGTTTTACTAACTATAATTCTTATGTGCCTTTACTCAATGATCTACTAGATTTGAGACTAGCGTAAAAGAATAGTATATCTAGTCTTCATACGAATATTAACTTAATTAACAACTAGAATTCAAATATTACAGTAAACTACAATCAAGTTCAGCATTAATCACATTAATCATTACCGACACTAAATAATTCTGTGAAGCATAATTTGTCTAGTAGCTAAGGTTTAGCATCTGATACGTTCGGAGAGGTAAATCGATTGACTTTGATTACAATTTAAGATGATGTAAACGACATTTTTGCTGATGAAGAGATGCCAAGATTCAATAAATTTAATGTGGACTATGAAGAGTAAAAGGTTAGCTCAAACAATATTAACATTAGCAAAGATAACAATAAACAACCCGTTGCAGGAGTGATACCTCCTGTCAGACTATCTTGAATTTCATTATTTTAAATTATAACTTACACATTTCATACCGTTCATTGTAATATGAGATTTGGGGTTTTGGGGTTTTGGGGTTTTGGGG